CAAAGTGAAGAAAAAAAAATTTAAAAAAAACTTTATTAACTCTAAATTTTATTATGAAAACTATATTTCAACTTTTAAGCAAAGTTTTCAGCTTTGAATTTTACATATATAAATCCTCTTACTCAAACCCTAACCTAACTTTAGCTTATGCCTAACCCTAATCTTAATTTATTTTAATAAAAATTTTATAATACCGGGTGATATCACCATAGGTGAAAATTAGTTAAAATCTAAATTGATATATGAATTTGTACTTGTTTTTTATGATATACTAATTGTAACTTTATAATAAATATTTTCTTCTGTCAAATTATTATGTAAATTTATTACCAAAGTAATTTATTTACTACCCAGGTGAGTTTTTTCTATTTAAAAGATACATTTTAGTATTTTGCTATATAGCATTGCATTTAGCAAATATGTAGAGAATATTATTTATAGATTTAAGTGATATCAAATACATATAATATAATTTTTCATTATGTAAAAAATCAGATTACTCTTGATACTGTGTGCAATGCTGTGCGAGAGGTCTAGGTCTAGCAATATTTTATATAATTTTTGTAAAAAACATTGTTACACCAGCATAGAGATGTGATCCATGTCTATTTTTTATATATAAACACCCAATTTGAATTGGTTTTATATAAAAAATAAATACAGATAACTAATAGTTACCTGATATTGCAAATTTATTGGTTAATCTTAGTAATAAGATCTTACTCTAGGTAGTAAATAAATAAATTACTTCAATATAATTATTTTTAAATTATTATTTTTTAAAAAATTCAATAAATATTTTAACAATTTTTTTTGTCAAATTTCAGTGAGTAAGTATAAGCATCATATGAGTGTCAACAAAAGAAAACCTGCAAATTTAAATATAGACTATATTTATATTGTCAGGCTTTCTTTGGGTGACACTCATAGTATTGTCTGATCTTGACTATTACTAGTTAATAAAATCAAAAAATTATGTTTATAGAGAAAATGAGATATTGGGAAAAAGGAGATATCAGAAAATGGGAATGTGGGAATGTCAGAGAAAAGAATGAGTCAGAAAAGAGAATGTTGGGAAAAAAGAATATTAGAAAAAAGAAAATGTTAAAAAAAGTGTATATTAGAAAAAAGTGAATATCAAAAAAGGGTATATCATGAAAAAGAGTATGTTAGGAAAAGATATATTGGGAAAAAGATATGTTAGGGAAATGGTATGTTGAGAAAAAAGATATGTCGAGAAGAAATATATATCAGAAAAGAGAATATCAGAGAAGTATTTGTTAGAAAAAGATATATTGAGAAAAAGAATATTAGTAGTTATTGGAAAAAAGGTATGTCAGAAAATTATTGTCAGAGAAATTGATGTCAGAAAAATTGTTGTCAGGCAAGTGACATAGATCTATCTTAAAAGCTATTTTTTTATATTTACTATATAAAGCAAACTATACCTACTACTTATTGAACTATATCAAATTATACTATAAAGTAAAGATGCTAGAATATTTTAATTTAAAACTATTTTATTATGTTAAATTTAAATAAACCTTATTTCTAACTATTTAATTTGAATAGATACAGGCTCTAACAATAAGATCTGGGTTTAATATTTAAATTTAATCAGTTCTTGTAGTATATTTAAGCTTGTCAACTATAAATTAATAGTTAAAATTTTGATAGTTTTAGTTTATATTTTATATAATAGATTCTTTAATAATTGGGTTTATTAATAATAAATATCTTATTTGCTTACTTTATATATATCTATTCTCTACATATTAATAATAATTTTTTTATATATATTTATTAGTTTGTAAGCTTTTTATATTAAGTTTTTTTTGTTTTCTAATATTATAGTAATTATATATTTGAGTAGAAACTTTTTAAATAATAATGCACCCCAACCTTCTGTGCCAGGTTATGCATGTTGCCAATCATCACACAGCAATTGTCTTATTCTAGCTATAGCGAAAATTTTCAAACTTCGAACGAAAGTATCTCAATAAATCT